ACCTTTCAAGTCAGAAGCAATGTATGTGCTGGCAGGTGAAATACAATCTGGATCACTCAGTACTTTGGTGGGAATATCTGACAAGTACTAGTTTATGGTCAAAAGCCCTACTGATATTTGTAGGGAGAATAATGGTTGAACTCAAATCCCAGCTCAACCACTGACCTCTTTGAGTTGCTTTCGTTCCAAACTTCAGAAATTTTCTCCCTCAGAATTGTATAAAGGTATATTTCTAGAAAAAGAGACCCTAATGAAGTTTTCTCTCTTTTTTTTTTTTTTGGGTAAGTGTGAAACAAAGTTTATTGAGGAAGGACAAGATAGGTTTATAGAATAAGAACAAGATACAAGGAATAGACCCCCCCCATAACAAGAGGGCTGAAGTTTTCTCCTTTTTGACAGTTCTTTTTCTTCTCCCCAGTTCTCCCTCTTCACTGCTGTCCATAAGCACTACAGCCTCGAGCAATGGCAAGAATTTGCTAGCCAGAATCCTGACTGTCTTGAGGTAACACTGGGCCTACCCTGCTCCCTTCTTTATCCCAGTTTTCCAAGAATGTTTTTTTGGCTTCCTGGGGAACCACCCTCACCAGTGACTTCTGTTGGCTGCTCACCCGATCATCTCACATGAGATGCCACAGGCTAGTCTAATGCCTCCCATGCTAACGGCCCTGCTTCTCCCACAGCATCTTGCTGCCAGTTCAGGCACTGGCTCTTCTGATTTTGAGCAGCTGGAACAGATCCTGGAAGTTATTCCCCAGGTGAACTATATATGCCTGGATGTGGCAAATGGCTACTCTGAACACTTTGTTGAATTTGTAAAGGATGTGCGGAAGCGCTTCCCTCAACACACCATCATGGTATGTTTCTATTATTCTGTAGTTGGTCCACTTCTCTCCTTCCACTCCATTTTGTTACATCAATTAATTTCTCCTCTGCTGCATATGCTATTCCTAGTCTATTTAATCATGTTACCGGGTGATTATCCATGGTTCCAAGCTTAAAGTGCTTGTTTATTGGTCCATGCAGTATCTCTGACCCTTGTTTCATCGTCTTTGTAAATTGACTGTCCCTGACATCACTCACCAAACCATGATGGAACATTTATGCATTGTATATACCTGTGGTATATATACATCTACTCACTGAAATGGACATGTGCTACTATCACATAAAGGGGGTTACATGAAACAATTTTGTTTTTTACAAGCTTAGGGGAGTGATGACTAGGCCTCATTTTCTTCCAGCATTGAGGGATGTCCTTAAAAGTAAATGCAGCTGGGCAGGTGGTTATTTAGGCTACATTACCATGTTTTCCCCCGTTACCTGAAGCCAAAGAGGTTCTTTGACAGCACTGCTTAAGGACATGTTTGGATCTCTTGGGGAAGGGGAGGTAAATCTCTAAGTCAGATCTGAGCTTGGTCTAGTAGTTCCCTTTGATTTATTGAATGCTCCTTCATGGCACCTCATGTCTCCTTTTTTTTTTTGGAGACAGAGTCTCACTCTGTTGCCCTGGCTAGAGTGAGTGCCGTGGCGTTAGCCTAGCTCACAGCAATCTCGCTCAAGTGATCCTACTGCCTCAGCCTCCCAAGTAGCTGGGACTATAGGCATGCGCCACCATGCCCGGCTAATTTTTTCTATATATTTTTAGTTGTCCAGATAATTTCTTTCTATTTTTTTTAGTAGAGATGGGGCCTTGCTCTTGCTCAGGCTGGTCTTGAACTCCTGAGCTCAAACAATCCACCTGCCTCGGCCTCCCAGAGTGCTAGGATTACAGGCGTGAGCCACCGCGCCAGGCCGTCTCCTTTTTTTTTTTTTGAGACAGAGTCTCAGTCGCCCCGAGTAGAGTGCAGTGGTGTTATCATAGCTCACTGCAACCTCAAACTCCTGGGCTCAAGCCATCCTCCTGACTCAGCTTCCCAAGTAGCTGGGACTACAGGCCCATGCCACAATGCCTGGCTAGTTTTTCTATTTTTAGTAGAGATGGGGTCTTGCTCTTGCTCAGGCTGGTCTTGAACTCCTAAGCTCAAGCAATCCTCCCACCTCAGCCTACCAAAGTGCTAGGATTACAGGTATGAGCCACCTCGCCCAATCTGTCTCCTTTTTGATCACAGCAACTTATTGCCCGAGGCAGTAAAGTGGACCCTGGAGCTTGGCTTTATCCTAGTTCAGCAGTGACAATGGCCACTTATCCCCTACCTCAGCTTGGTGTCAGGGGAATGGGTGGGAAGTGGGGGTCCTCTGAAGTGGCTACCATAGAAGCCCTCAGAAGCCCTAGTAGAGGGGACCTAGGCACATTTTCTTTGTAATAAAGTTGGAAAGTCATTGGTCCAGGCATACTCTACATGGGAGCCCGCTATCTCCTCTCTGTTTCTGACCCTGAGAATGCTCTATTTCTATTGCTCTGTCTCAGGCAGGGAATGTGGTAACAGGAGAGATGGTGGAAGAGCTAATCCTCTCTGGGGCTGACATCATCAAGGTGGGAATTGGGCCAGGTAAGTTGATTCATTGAGGCCACTGGCTAGTCCTTTGGTAGCAAACACCTGTGGAACACTTCACTTTCACCCTTGTCATGTTCTTCCTAGGCTCTGTGTGTACCACTCGGAAGAAAACTGGAGTGGGGTATCCACAGCTCAGTGCAGTGATGGAGTGTGCTGATGCTGCTCATGGCCTCAAAGGCCACATCATTTCAGTAAGGCCCAAGGGCAGGGTAGGGTCTGAGGCTGCCAAATAGCTGGGTTTTCTGCAGGGTATGGAGGCTCTGGTAGGTATGGACCAGGACTCCTAGGTTCTTGTCAGCTTTGAGGTGGGCTATTGGGACATCACTGAGAGGGCTTGGAAAATCCATGCTGTTTGTTTGAAATGCTCCTTACTTTGCAGGATGGAGGCTGCAGCTGTCCTGGGGATGTGGCCAAGGCTTTTGGTAAGGAGTTAGGGCATGGAAGGAAGGTCCTGTAAAAAAGATGAATCACCTCTGAGGGTCTTGGGTCAGGCTAGGAGAGGCTCAGAAGCCATTCAGATTCTTTTGTAATATGAACTCGTGACCCTGAAGCCTATGGTATCACCCAAGGCAAGCCAGCAGGGGACATCCTGAGACTCTGATTTGGACTCTCTAAATGTGGCCAGAACCATCTGACTGTCCCCAGGATTGCTGCACAATGTAGATTCCTGAGCTCAACCCCAGACCTACAAAATCAGGCTCTAAGGCATGGGGCTGCAGGTCTGCATTTTGCACAGCTTCCCAGGTGATCCTTACTCATATCAAAGTTGGAGACCTTTGCTCTTGGGACACATGAAATGAGTCTTGTTAAGCTGGATACAGCAAAATGAAATGACCAGAAGATGGTGAAAACAGCAAAAGGAGGGAGCAAAAGCCAGGCAAGGAATCTCCAGAGGCTTTTTTTTAAATCTTGGGGAAATCATACCCCCTGAGGAGTAGAAGCCAAGCAGAGCAAGCCTGTGTGGATGTGAGTCAGCTAGGGAAACAGAAGCAGGAAGGTGGTGGATTCATTGACAGGACTGGGAATTCAGTGTGAGTTGCTTTTGAGGGTGGCCACATAGGCTTCTTGGCCAGATTCATCTCTTTCCCCCCTCCTTGATGCTGGCAGGGGCAGGGGCTGACTTCGTGATGCTGGGTGGCATGCTGGCTGGGCACAGTGAGTCAGGTGGTGAGCTCATCGAGAGGGATGGCAAGAAGTACAAGCTCTTCTACGGAATGAGTTCTGAAATGGCCATGAAGAAGTATGCTGGGGGCGTGGCTGAGTACAGGTATGTGTGGAGTCCCAGGAACTGAGGGTTCTTGGAGAGCATGACTAAGTAGTGTGGAGGCAGAACTCAGGCCTGCTGGGATACGATGGTGCAGTTCTTGGGAGAAGAGTGATGAACCAGGGCTCAATGCTAGGGACTGGGGAAAGTCCTTGGGCTTAAAAAATCCAGAAGGAGAAAGTAATAAAGTGTTTCCTACTCTAAGGGCCTCAGAGGGAAAGACAGTGGAAGTTCCCTTTAAAGGGGATGTGGAGCATACCATCCGAGACATCCTAGGAGGGATTCGCTCTACATGTACCTATGTGGGAGCAGCTAAGCTGAAGGAGTTGAGCCGGAGAACTACCTTTATCCGAGTCACGCAGCAGGTGAATCCAATCTTCAGTGATGAGCGCTAGACCTGAGCAGTACTGCCTTCCCAAGGCTCCAGCACTCTACTACGGGGCCCCTCAAGTGGGCTCCTCACCCATCACAGCTACTGCGGCTATGTATTACTTCTCATTTCCTATCGACTCGCTCCTGAGGGCTCATGCAGTAACTCTATATTTCTCTATCTGCACACACAAAACGCCCAGGGCACTCACTGGGGAGGAAGTAAGGAAGAAGACAGTCTGAGAAAATGACATAAAATAATCAAATGGGAATCTGGGGACCCAACATCCTGGAGAGTATTAAAAGGAAAAGATGCGGATTGACATTATACATAAATGTTTTATATAGCCTTGATCTGGAAGAGGCAGGCTTTTAGAATCATGTCTTATAAATGGGACCTTTGAATATCTAAAAATCTCAGAAGTGTTTACATATTTGAAATACCTCAATAAAGAGAGATCCCACTGACTGTAAAGAGATGCTGGGGCTTTCTGCATAGGCATCTGGGTGCTGCTCCAAGGTGGGTGGGGTTAGGGTTAGCACTGACCCAGTGGGGTCAAGGGCAATGACTATTATTCCCATGAAGTATCTCCATTCTAGTCCCACCACCCCCAGATACTCTGGCAGCATGAGAATTCACAAAGTATATTCTGGCATTAGGACTCATATGTATTTTCAGAATAGCAAAAGGAGATTTCCCTTCCAGGCTCTCAACCCTGGTAACCATCTGGGCACAGCTAAACAATACTTTCCAGGGAAGAAAAAAAGGCAAAGGGATTCACTTCTGAAGAGGCCAGTTCTGTTTCTGAGGAATGACTTTTGCTGACCTTATGGAAGCCTTAATTACCCTCTCTCACATCAAGACAGTGTTCTAACAAATCCAAAGTTTAATTATCAAGCATTACAAAGTATTTTAAGCAATGTAGTCAGGCAACCCAAGCCTGGGTTTCCACTTCATTCCCATTAAACTGCTTGCAGAGCTGAGGAGGCAGGAGACAGGCAGAGTGCAAAGGGCATTTTAGTCCTGTCATAGGAGTCTAGAGCTGTCTGTCTATATGGTCATGGGAAGGGCCAGGCATGGCACTGGGGCCAGAAGGGGGAAGGTATTCACAGAAGGTGGGGATCAGGGTGTCAAACTTTGTCTTCTGATAGTTTTCCAGAGTCTCCTGTAAGGAAGGGAGCAGGGAGATCCTATCATCCCAAACCATTCCCCGAGCCCTCTGTATCCTGAAGCATGTGGATTTCTTAGTCTTGCTCTGCCCATCCCCTTCCCCAGCTTTCTGCTCCTTCCTACTCACCTTTCCATCCCTCTGGCCATTTTCTTCCTCATCAGAGTCTAAAACCAAGTCCCCTATGGTAATGACGGAGCTGCACAGAGATGGAGAATACACTGCAGGAAGGAAAACAGAATCAAACTATTCCTTCTAGGTGAACAGAGGCTCTTAAGAGTCCCCAAGAGAAGAGGCTGTCTGATCCAATCCTGACTCAGACTTCCTACCTACCTGGCTTCCTGGCCCTAGGAGGTGATAATAATAGTCTCAGGGGGTCCGTGGAGCAATCCAAGCAATTCCTGAGGTGGGAGCAAGCAAAGAGGAATAGGGTGAAGGGAAAGCAGGCAAAGAATGTGCTCCTAGTGGGGAGAAGGAATTCTGTTCCACTCACTCCTGCTCTGAGGCAGACAAGTCAACTGGGTTCTCCTTCAGAGCCTTTCCCCCCGGAGTCTGGCATGGATTCTTAGACTTCCCAGCAGAGGCTGCTCGTGTGCACACGGCATCTGCTGGATCTGCTGTGTGCATCCCATGTTCTCTGTTTTCAGGCTTAGATATGACCTGGGTTGGTGAGCCCAGATTCCTGAAGGGGAACAGCATGACTGTGGGGCGCTCCTTATGGCCTCCCCGAGCAGGTGCCCACTGCGACTGGACTCTTCGCTGGCCTAGAGGGGCCAGGTTGAAGTGGTGGCCAGCTAAAGGTTCTGGGTGCTTCCTTGAAGCTAGTCCCTGAGGAAGGTATGGGCCAGGCTTGGCTTTTGGCAGAGGACTGTGGAGTGCTGGTCTTGGTTGCGGAGGAGGAGCCTGTTCCATGGGTTCTGTGAAGTTCACTGAATCGGTAACAGAACACTCTGAAAAAGAAAATGAGGCTCCTTATAAAGGGAAGAGATAGTAGAATAACTCAGTCTGGTTTCTTGTGCCTCAGGCCCATGTAACTATTCCAGTGGGCTCCCTGAAAAGTTCTCATGTTAAACACTATAGCACTAAATTTCCTAGTACCTGGAAGTGGCCACCCCATGTCCACACCATACTGGCTCGTGGCAAGAGAAGAGGTGATAGACACTCCAGGCTGCATCCAACTCAGCACGTCCTGAAGCTGTGGGCATGGAGAGACATATGAAGACAACAGTCCTTGATGCAATCACCCCACACTCTGCCCTTACGTGCTTTGCCCCAACAAAACCTGCTCAGTCTGCGGTGTAGGCAGTGCTTTTTCCAGCTGACACAAATATTCAAAAAACAGCTTTTCCATGGCAGCCAGAAAGTGTTCTCCATATTCTTGTTCAAGTTCCTACAGGGATGAATGAAGCGGGTCAGAAGAGGATCAGAGAAAATGGGAGCCACATAGCCTCCAAACCAGTCAGTCTCACCTGTAGCTTTGAGGCCAAATCCACAGGAGCCTCTGACAGCTCCTTCACCTGCTGACAAAAAGTTTCCTGTGCCTCCAAAATCTTCCTCAGATCTTGCTTTGTCTGTTGAGGATATGGAGGACAAGTTAGGGGCCCCAGGATCCAGTAGCCAGCAGGAGGGACAACAGGTTAAGGCTTGTTCTGGGGATTACTCACAGCTTTGGGGTCCCGTACCACATGTCCAGATTCTGGGAAGTGGTGATTCAGAGCATTCAGGACCTGAGCCCAAGGCTGGCCCTGCAGGATCATCTCCACCACCACCTGTACGGTACTAAACTCAGAATCCCCGCTTCGGGACAAGCTGCCTTTTTCCAACCGGTCTCACCCCCAAGGTGTAGGCCTTGTTAGGTCCGCATCCCACCCCTTTCTCCCGTTCCCGTTCCGACTTGCTCCAATACCTTGGCCTTTAGCCCCATGCACAGGCGTTCATGGTGCCGGTAGCGAACCAAACCAGGAGCGGCAGCGCGCAAGGATTGCAGAAACTCCAGTACTCTCGGGAAATGCTCCACGCAGCGTCCGCGCACGACTTCCCAACTGGCTGCGGCTGCGAAGCGCAGAGCTGCAGGACCGGCCCCCGGGGGGGCGGCCATGGCCAGCGGGCTCCACCTCGGGGAGGTCCCTTCGGGTGCTTTGACTTAGACGAGGCTTCCGGACTCCTGGGGGCGGGGTTCCGGCGGGCTTCGGTGGCTCTGATCGTTAGATCTGCGCGGAATACTTGGTGATCCGACTCAGTTCCCTTCCATAGGCCACCAGAATTCTGGGCGGGGGTCTTCTAGCTCGGGCTGGAGCCTGAATGGATTAGCTGGCCGTCTCCAATGGCAGCCAACGCTCAGCTTCAAACGCCGCCGCTGTCTCGAATCACTTCCGGCTCTGCGACTGGTTTCACTTGCCCCGGAAAAGGGCGGTAAGGGAGAACCAATGGGCGGCCAGACAGGAAAATGTGACGTCGCGCCACAAAGCCTCGCCCTGGCGGGGGCTAGCCTGCGCGGGCCCTGAGCCCGCTTCCCCGCGCCTAGGTTGGCTTCTGAGGGTGCTGTAGCCGCTCTTCTGGATCCTCCCGGCCGCTGCCTTTCTTCGCGGAGCCTACAGAGAAGTCTCGTCGCTCCTCGAAGGCTCGACTTCCTAGTCTGTAAAGCGGCGATCATGTCATCGCCCCTTCCTATTGTCTTCACCCCTTAAAGTACAAGTCCTTAAATGCCAGACCCCGAACCAGCGTCTGTAAAGCCCTCCTCCCCTGGCGGCTCGTCGCTTCTAGTACGAATTCCGTTGTTCCTTTTACAAAACAGGAGAGGGCGCCCACCTTTAGAAAATAAAGTACGAAGTTAGAAAAGCTACATCGAATTGTTAGCCTGGTTTTCTCTGAATAGTGGGATTGTAGGTAATTTTTTGTACTTTTCTGTTACGTGTTTACCGTATCGTGTAGTTTTAAAGTTAAAAAAATAGTTAATTCAAATTTTTGTTGCGCACTGAACCCGACTCAGCCCCCGCAATGTAATTGTCTACTTGGCTGTCTCCTTGTCATCCTTTCTGATGCCTCTCCTTATTTCCGTTACTAAGCGCGGAACCTGACACACAATGTACACTCTTTAATTGTTGGCTGAATTACCGTCTTGACCACCTTACAAGGATTTAGTGAAACTACTTTTTCTTTGGTCCATCTCTTCCATTCCGGAGCTAATGGCTCGCACTTCCTTGTCTCCACCGCAGATCAGTCTTCTGAGCCGATCCACACATTTAATTGCCCCTGAAACACCCAGTCCCGAAGTACCCCAATTGGACATGTGGGAAATTCTAGTTATCTTCCTTTTTACCTTCGTTTATTCCTTCTCTAACATTCTTTTTTCCTTTATGTAGATCTGAGTTTCTGACTTATATTTTCTTTCTTTCTAAAGAATTTCTTTTAGTATGTCTTGCAAGGCAGATCTACAAATTGCCTCACTTTTGATTGTTTGACAAATTATTTCTCCTTCTCTTTTGAAGGATAATTTCACTGGACACAGAATTCTGGGTTGATGGGCTTTTTTTTTTTTCCTTAAATACTTTAAATACTCTGCTCTTTTTAGGTAGGCATCAAATCTGCAGGTGGTGGGTGTAGGCCAGGAGGGTGGTTCCTAGGGCCAGAGAAGCTGTGGGGATTAGTCAGGGGAAGAGACTGCAGGGAAACTCAGAACACCTTATAATCATTTGGTACTATCCCACGCCTCCTGTCATCCCTCCCCAGGACCAGGCCAATAAAAGGAAACTACCTGGGAGTCCTCAATGTCTTTCTCCACTTGTGGAGACTGACCTGTTCCTCTGTCAGGAACGTATTTTTGCTTTGAGTAGCTTCCTTTACTTTCACTTTGTATAGTTTCTTTCTTTTCTGTAATAAACTGTTTGTGTGGGATTGCTTTGTATTTGTGATCACTCCGTCATCGGCTCAACTTGGTACCAGTACTCACTCTTGACACTGGGAATCGGGGACAAGGGAACATCAAGATAGACCTAATATTCTCTTCTTCCTTGCATAGCTTCTGAAGAGAAGTCTGAGGCAATTCTTATACTCGTTCATCTATAGATAAGATTGCGTGCCATATCCCCACTCCCACCTTCTTTCAAGATTTTCTGTCTTTTTTTTTTTTTTGAGAGAGAGAGTCTCACTCCGTTGCCCTGGGTAGAGTGCCATGGCGTCATCCTAGCTCACAGCAACCTCAAACTCCTGGGCTCAAGCGATCCTCCTGCCTCAGCCTCCCAAGTAGCTGGGACTACAGGTGTGCCCCACCATGCCTGGCTAATTTTTTTTTTTTCTATTTTTAGTTGTCCAGCTAGTTTTTTAATGTTTTTAGTAGAGACAGGGTCTCCCTCTTGCTTGGGCTGGTCTTGAGCTCCTGAGCTCAAGCAATCCTCCTGCCTCAGCCTCCCAGAGTGCTAGGATTACAGGCATGAGCCACCACACCCAACCTTCTCAGTCTTTTACTGATTTTTAGTTTACATACCAAAAGCAAAAATAAAATTAAGAAATCTACATCTAGGCATATTGTATTCACTCTGCAGAAAATTAAAAAACTGAGTTCCCAGACATGGCAGGATGGGAGGTCAAACGTACCTTGTTATACTGCCTCCTTTTTGTGGTTTAGACACAACAACTGACCAGAATGATTGTTAAAATAGAAATCAGAAATCGCAGGACTGACAGAATGGACCCTTTGTGGCAATATGACACTAAATTATAAACAGGACCTAAGGCCATGCCAGACAGGAGTTAAGTCTCAAGTCTTGCATCCCTACACTTAAAGAATTAACTGTGTTCTAATTGCCGCAAAGTTTTTCTCTAGAAGCTAAACAAGCTCTGGTCTTTTTTCTTTCTTTTTTTCTTATTTTTTATTTTCATTTGTTTTAAGAATAAGCTTATAACAAGCACTGGTCTTGAGATAAGCAATAATAAGACCATTGTAGCTCATTCACCCCCAGACCCTGACTGACCCCCCTGTTCCAGGAGCCATAATTACAGATTTGATTGGATGAGAGGCTAATTTAAGTAACTTTCTCCTAAGAAGAAGACCACAGACTGGTTGTGGCTGGTTTACAGAGGCTGCATATTTGAGTGCATTCATGTCCCTGCTTCACCTTTTGATGTATAGGGCCTAGTTGTAATAAACTTAAATGTTAAGTCTCCACCCCTAAGTGAAGATGGGTCATATGTGACATGAATGTTTGCTTGTCATGTATTCATGTGACTCCCTTTCATGGATATTCATAGCTCCTCCTATAACCTGTTGAATACTTGGCCAACCCATTCCGCATAAATCCCTGTTCCACCCTCCCCTTCCCGGAAGTGCCTGCCTTTCTGTCTCTGCCAGAGGCTACCCTTCCCAGCTTGTCAGGATGGCCACCTTGCAGCCTGTAACCCTTTATAAGAAGTAATCTCCTTTCTAAATTTATAAATTGTGTGATTTTTAAGTTGACGTGTATTTATCCTGCTTGGTGTTCTCTGAGCTTCCTGGATCTGTGTTTTTTGTCTATTGTTAATTTGGGGAAATTCTGTCATTATTGCTTCATTTTTTTCCATTCCTTTATTTTCTTCTCTATCTGCTATTCTTATTACGTACATGCTACACCTTTTGTACGTGGCCCACAGTTCTTGGATATTCTGTTCTATTTTTTTCATTCTTTTTTCTTTTTGCAATTCAATTTTGGAAATTTCTATTGCAATTTCATCAAGCTCATCAATTATTTATTCAGCCATGTCCAGTCTATTCATGAGCCCATCGAAGGCATTCTTCATTTCTGTTACAGTGTTTTTTAAAAATTATTATTTCTAGCCTTTCTTTTTGGTCTGTTCTTAGAATTTCTGTCTCTCTGTTTACATCATCCACTTGTTCTTTCATATTGTCCACGTTTTCCATGAGAGCCCTTATCACATTGACCATAGTTGTTTTAAATTCCTGGTTGATAATTCCAATATCTCTGACATATCTGGGTTTGGTTCTGATGCTTGCTCTGCCTCTTCAAATTGTGTTTTTTTGTGTTTTAGTGTGCCATGTAATTTTTTGTTGAAAGTCAAATGTATGAATAGAAGGAACTGAGGCAAATAAATGTGAGGTTTTGTGTTTATCTGGCCAGGGATTAGGCTGTTTTTGTTGTTTGCTGTAGCTGTAGGTATCAGAGGCTAAAATTTCCCTGGTGTCCTTGTTATTGTCTCTCCCGTTGGTGTTGGTGTTCCCTAGAGACTTCTTAAATAAGGTCTGAGGTGTGCAGTTCTCTCAATTGTATTCCCGTGTTATTATACAAGAGCTCTATTAGTAAGGTGTGGGGGGAGGGAGGAAGAGTCCTATAGTCCTGCATTTGGCTGGGTATTTCCCTTTTCCAGGTCAGTTAGTCTCTCTCAGTGACCTGAGTTAGTAAGAGCTAGTTTCTCTTGAGGGCAGGCCTCCTTAAGAACTGACTGCTCTGAATGTATTTCAAAGTGGCTACTTTTCCCGTCCCCGTGCCAGAAGCACAAGTTGCAGGGCGGGGGGCAGGGGGGGCTGTTCTCCAGCTTTCACTGTGAGAACCTGGTAAAGCTTCTGGCAGTAAAACTAACAAAAGTGTGGGAACCCCCAAAGAATGGGACCCCTGGAGTATTTAATGCTCAAGTTTGTCCACACCGAGCCTCCAGCTATTTCTCAGTTACAGTTTAAGTTTTCCTACCCTGGTACTGCGTCCCACAGAAGGTTCTACTCCTGGGCTTCTGCTAGTAAGTTGTGATTCTCCGTATCCACCTTTTCGTCTCTCCAATTTTAGGGGCAGTGGTTTGCCTTGTACCCTTAATCCTCTGAGAGATCCAAGAACAGTTGTTGAGTTTCAGTTTGTACAGCTTTTTTCTTGTTGTGAGGACAGGAGTGAGGACTCCCAAACTTCTTACATGCTGGACTAAAAACAGGAAGTCATTATCTTTCCTTTTATAATCTTCTCTTCTTGCTGGGCTCCGTATTTCTGTGCATGGCACTCTTCTTCATCGCACCCACAAGTCAGAAACCCAGGCCACCACCCTTAAATCCCTTCTCTCCAGATCTAGTCCATCACCAAGTCTAATCAGTGCTATTTCCCATATAACCTTCAAATTCACCCCCTTTTTTTCATTCTTACTGCCTCTACCCTATTGCAGTTTCTCCCATCTCTCACCTTGAGAGGATTCTGGTCTCCCCACCTCTAGGCTAACCCTTCTAATTTCTTTTCCACGTTGCTTTTATCATGAATCTTGTGAAATGCAAAACTAATATCATTCCTAACTGAAAGCTGCCCCTTACTTTCAGAAGAAAGTCCAAACTCCTAAATATGGCGTAAGGATTTTTAATGACCTGGCCCAAGCTTACTTCTTCAG